TATTGTTTCAACTATGACTGGGAAGCAGCATTTCACTGTTGCGTGGTTATAAGGGCTGTTGCATCCCCCACTGACTTGCTGCGAGCATTGTTTACCAGCTTGAACCCACAGCGCTGCCTGGGCAGTCATGCTCCTTTGCGTCTGCTGTTCTGTACACTGGCACCTTACTTGAACTAGTATTGGGCTCCCTGCACCCTAACTGGTGGGGCAGTGAAGAATTTCTTCATGGAGAGGATGGTCCATCCATCCCAAGCACCAGGATGGGTGGAGTTCTCATTCCTGCAGGTGTTTAACAGACATGTAGACATGGCACTGAAAGATACGGTTTAGTAATGGATTAGTGATCTTTTAAGTCAGGATATTGGTTCAGTGTCATGTTCTTGAAGGTCTTTTCCAACCTAGATGATTCTATGATTCTATGATAGTGGAACCCTTTGGCTGTGGGCTGGATGGCAGATTATGGTGGTGCATGTTATAGCAAGCAAGAAGAGTGGCATGACGTTGAAAGAAAAGTCATGCTAAAGGAAGTGGGTGTATGGTCCCCAAGAACCATGTCTAAACATAAAAGTGAGAACCAGCACACACCTGAGTGGGACAGGCTGTACATACATAGCCAGCTTATTTCCAGTCCTTGCATATTATGGTACTTAATAGCTAGAGAAAAACAGGTCCAGGTGGCCCCTCAGAGCTGTGTGGACTTGATCATCTTCTAAATTGCTCAGTCACTCACTATGTGAGTAGCAAGATACAATAGCCTTCTATACTACAAGTTCAACTTGATCTGCTGAGGTACAGGCACATACATATCCACTTCTGACAGTTCTGCTGCAGAGGAGATAATTTCTGAGAAGGATGAAGAAAATAGCTTCATCCTGTAACACCATGCAGTCAGAGTTCATTTGTTGTGCTCATTAAGACTTAACTTAGGGGAAAGTTTGCCTGTCAAATATGAAACACTGTCAAAACACAGTGAATAGAATTCAGCACTTTTCAGATCCCCAAGTTCTGTTCCCCTGCCTAGCTGAGACCTGTCGTAAGTGAAATTAGTTCTTTTATCTTAGATCTTGTGATTGCTTTCCCCAGGCTGCTGGTTATATATTTACTGAACTTTTTTTTTTACAAAGCCATTGTGTTAGCTCTTACTTCCTAGCTTAAAATCAACTTTTAATTATGACAGTCTTAAACACATCAGTTTATGTTTTTATCAGTAGGAAATGAAGCTTAGAAGAGAGACTGTTCTGTGTCATCCATCCATATTGTCTGCATCAGCTGATCACATGGAAAAGTCATGAAAAAAACAACTCAGCAGAACTCCGCACATAAACCCACCCCAAATAAAACACTGTATTTTAATATAAATTAATAGTTTCAAATAAGAAACAAACCTCCTGAGCAGGCAGCTCTCCAATGACCGCCTGCAGAAGCACTGGACTCCACTCCTGAAAGCTGAGATTGGGTGAGTTTCCCTATTACCAACTCAGCAACTGCTCCCCAGAGATGATCTTGCTTGCTGATGTCAGCACCTTCTTGGGCACATATTTCTGTTTCTCTAGCACTTCCTCTTCTTTGGAAAATATATTCTCAGCTGTATCATTATTATCTTTTTCTTAATAGGTATCTCTGATACTTGATTTATCTGCCTGCTTACTAGCACTACGGCAGAACTCTTAGTTACCATACAGCACCATGAACAATCTTATTTTTAAAAAACCTTACATTTTGGTTCCATATTATTTTACAGAATTGGCAGATTTAATTTTGAACATGGTATTTTTTTTTAAATCAGATTGGGATAAGATAAACACACCTTTATTTTTGTGTTAAAGAAATATTTAAAAAAATCAAACAGGCTGTATTTATTAAAAAAAGAAAAAAAGGAAAAAAAAACCTACCAAAAAACAACTGCTGTGTTCTTCTAAGGCAAAGATTAATTCTTAGCTGTGTAGTAACCCCACGGTCTTGCTCCAAAGAATGCAAACTGACATACATTTGAACATCATGTAGCAAGGAAGACATCTGTGTAAAGCTCCCATTCCCAATTTATGAGTGCTATACAGTTGTGAATTCAGCAGAAATCAGAAAACTCTGAAGAGGTTTTTCACTCTTGACTAATTAAATGCATCCTGCAGTCAAGGAGCATTACCTTCTAGTTCTGTCTGTTTCTGCTCAATGGGCTTACACCCTAGTTTGTGAAAGGAAAATACAGCCTGGTTTGCCATCACTGCAAAGCTGCTGCACTGTATTTGCTGTTCCAGAGGAATACTGTAGTCTGGAGATGGAGAGATTCTTGATGCACTCCAACGTGCTTTTTGGTTGTATTTGAAAGTGACACACAATCCTGCCTATTCATCTAGTTCTGCCTCCATTCAGGGCTGAGGATGCTGGTCTTATTACAGCAAAGCAAATGGAGCACTCTAATGGTGTCCTGTGCGCACTCTGGCAATTCCTCTCCCTCCCATACCTGTGACTGCATTGCCCACCTCCATCCGTGATGCTGAATGGGGCCAAAGAGCAACTAAAAACTTTCTGGATCGGAGGTTAAGAAACACTGCAGAGGCTTGCCAGTGAACACGCAGAGCCACAGTGATAAATCATTTGGGGATTCCAAGTACATTTGTTTGTCTTCGTGCCCTCTTTCCAAATGTTCATGTCCATAGTGCTCCAGACAGATGCTGCATGTGTTTAGCTCTCTGGATATCAGTAGAAGCAGTAGCCAGCTGGAAATTCAAATGCAGATGATGATGCTCATGGACTTGAAAAGAAACACAGAACACTTGATTGCATGGGCCTGCAGCATGCAACATGCTGCAACACAGCTTTTCTGTAGCTGCTGCCATCATGTATGTCCTTCACCTGTGCTGTCATATGCAGAAGTTTGCAGACCAACTCCTACAGATGTTCTTGTATTGATTAAAAATTGATGTGCATCAGCCTAGTTTGTAAAATACATCAATAAGTATAGAACAAAACACCAACCAAAACCAAACCAAACCAAAACAAAAACAATTCACCAACAAAAAATGGGGAAAAATGTTTAATTAAATGATATAACAAGTAACAAACAATATCTGATTGTAGATGAGGATTCACACAAGGAAGTCAAACTACACAAGGTTCAAAATGGATGAGGAGCATCCATATATGATCAGCAGCCATTTAATTAAATGAGCTCAGAACACCTCTTCAATTAAACAGGTGCAATGAGGCAAAACAGGCCTCACCGCCATAGAAAAATATATCAAGTCAAAAGTAGCCAATGCAGGAACACAGCATGTACAGCCTAATACATTCTCTTTATCAGCTTCAGAGATTATTTTGAAGCATTAAAATGCTAGCACTTACGTTAAGAAAGCAAGCAAGGACAGAACAAGTTTTACTAACAGAATTCATGTCACACTTTATACAACCTGAGATTGCTACTTAGGCAACAAGATTGGTAATTAGGCTAACCAGCCTACAACATGAAAAATTACATTTTTTTTTCTAATATATTTTCTGGATCTGTTGAAGTTTAGAGGCTTTTTGTTGCCTAAATGCCAACTGATTTCCACGTGAACTCCAGTCTTGCAGTGGACACAGAAACGTGTCCTCAAGGATGCACTGACAACGTAAGGTTCTTAGCTTACTCACAAGAAATTCTTGGGTATCCTAAATCTTAAATTATAGATTCACACAATAATTTGAGTTGGAAGAGACCTTTAAAGGCCATCTAGTCCAACTCCCCTGCCTTGAGAGGGATACCTACAGCTTATGACTTCTCTTTGGGAAATTTAACAAAAAATAGCTTTCTGAAAAGACACCATTAAAGTGTAAAGTGAAACATAATGCAATGCTTATAAATAAATGTCAAAGAGTTGGTAAGACAAAAGAAAAGCTTATTTAACATTGACTTTTAAACGGACATGACACCTATGCTTGATTCATAGGCAGTGGCATTCAGAAGCTGGTCTCCCAGCTTAGGTAGAAGAGTGCTCTTCCAACTTCAGAAGCTTTTGACAGACACATCACCACAGGTACCAACGTTCCTTTGAAATCCTAGTGTTATGTAACCAACTGAATACTTATTGTTATGTGGAACTCCCAAATCAAACTTGACTGGTAACAACTGTGTGAAGTTACTGAAAGAAGATGATGATTCCTGGCCAGTTTTTTGTTTTCATTTTTCAACTTCATGATTATTTCCTAACAAAACAAAAAAAGAATTAGCATTAATGGATGGAGAAGCCAGTTGACAAATATCATGGGCCACAATCTGTAAACACTCGCATACAGGCTTAGCTTTGGTACTGTTCATTGTCTCATTGACTTCAAAGGGATTATTTGCATTATGAGCATTTTGTGCATCTGCATTTGCTGTACTGGTCCCACATGTGACATCACCACGTATTTTCACAGTGATAAAGAACTCCAGTCGTATCATCTAGGTAACTCATCCATTTTAATCATAATGCAGGCAGTGAAGCCTGCGTGTCCACCACGACCTCGCCAATACAGGAGACTCAGACTTTCACATAATTTCACTCATCAGGTCGGTGGTTCCGGACCTAGACACCTCTCAGGACATCCCACATCTCCAGAAGAACCAGGACACGTCCTCTGCACTCGTCACCAGGCCATGCTGCTCCCCCAGGAGTATGTCTGCGTGACCCCCCGGCACTCCGGCCTACACAAGGGGCGAAGGCCCCAGGGCAGCGGGGCCGCCTCTGCCCTCACAAAATGGGCGCCGACGGCGGCAGCGGCGCAGCCCCGCGTTCCCGCCCGCCGCAGGCCCGGCGGAGAGGCGCGGCAGCCCCACGGCCTACGTGCCCCGCCGGCCCCAGGCGCAGGGCCGCGTCTCCCGCGGGAGGCGGAGGCAGCGCGGCGGAGCGGGCCGCACTTCTCCTTCCCCCTTCTTCTCCTCCTCCCGTTCCCGCAACCCCGCGTCGCTCCGCAGCGCCGGGCGGCGCGCCGCTCTCCCCGCCCCTCAGCGCCGCAGCGGGCCGAGCAGCGGCGGCGGCGGGGTCACGGCGGCGGCCGGGTCAGAGGGTAAAGGTTGCTCCCCCAGCATCCTCCGTGCTGGATACTCAGCCATCTTGGATCCGCGGGACAAGAAAATTCATGCGGTGAGTCCGGCCCCGGCCGCCCCCTCTCCGACCCCCACCGCCGCCCCGCTCCCCGCCGCAGCCCTCCCGCGGCCCGATGAGGGGGGACCCGGCGGCGGCGCGGCCCGCGACGGGTCTCGGCGGGCCCGGGGCCGTCCCGCCGGGTTTCCGTTTGCTTTTGTCTCCGAGGGGAGCGGGGGGGACGCGCGGCGCCCGAGCCCGGAGCGCGGCCGCAGGCCCGGCCCTGTCCGCCGCCCCCCGTCCTCCTCCGCGGCCGGCGGGGGCCGCCGGGAGCCGCTCCGCGCTCGCCCGAAGCTGAGGCCCGGCCGCGCTCGGGCCCCGCATCCTCCGCGGCCGTCGCTCCGCCGCCGCGGCCCGCTCGGCCCGTTCGGGACGGCTCCCGCCCGCCGCCTCTCTCCCTCGCCGGGCCCGTTCGAGGGCCGCGCGGCCTCCGTTCCCCCCAGCACTCTCCCCCTCGCCGCCGCCGCCGCAGCCTCCCGCCGGGCCCGGCGCTGGTGCGGCCCGGCCTGTGCCGCCTGCCGCCGGGTGCCGCCGGGCCCCGCTGCCGGGCGGCGCCGTGCTGCCGGGGTGGCCTCGCGGCCTGCGCCGCCGGGCCTCTAGCGAGTCCCCGGGAGAGGAACGGGGTGAGCCGGGGATACCGTCGGCCTGCTTCCTTTTACAAATTACATTTTTTTTTAAATTTTTTATTTATTTATTTTTTTTTTTGCGTGTGTGCGCCTTTTACACTCTCCTCCTGGTGGCGGTTAAGGTGATGTGTAAACAGGTTCTGGTATTCCCTCAGACGTGTTGGTAAAACAAACTTGAAAAGGAACGATCCCCTGCAAGAATTTGCCTCCGTGCACGGTGTGCTTGGTCCGGCCTGGGGGGACACAGGGCGGTGGGTCGGGGTGGGAGCCTGTGGTGTGATTTGTGGGGCTGCAGCTGTGTCCCTGACAGAAGCAGGGGTTTGCTTGCATGTACTGCAGGTTGGAATTCCTGTGTTGTTGTTGTTGGTGGTTTCTTTGTTTGTAATTTGTTTTCTTCAATGAAGGTGGAGGTAACTTTGTTTTGGAGGCTCTCTAATGTGAGCTAGTGAAAATGCAGTGTTAGGCGTGGAGCAGCCATAAGTCTGTTTTATCAGAGAACTTGTTTCCAACTTTGCAGTGTTATCCCTAGAAGACAGTCAGAACTGTCTGTGTCTCGCTCATGTTCACGTGTGTGCATATGTGTGAAACTCGCACAGGTGAAGGTGGTGTTCCTGCTCCCCTGCACACTGTACCCTGTGGTGCTGGGGGCTCTGTCAGAGCCCCTTGGCCTGAGGAAGGGAGGTTGAGATGCTCAAACTGCTGTCGCAGCACTCTGCAGGAATCCTCGCCTTTCTGGAAACTTGGATTTGTTTCAGGCTGTTAAAACTTGTAAAGACCTGCAGCAGAGTAATTGTTTAGGTTTGCATTGCAAAGGCATCTCTACTTGGACCTGTATGGGTTGTTAGGTGTGCATTGGGGTACTTGGAGTTCTCTTAAAATAGTGTTTTAGTGGAACGTAACTTGCAAGGTCCAGTTTCATAATCTTTAAAGCTGTGTTCAGTGCCCCACTCCAACTGATGGTGAGAATTCAGCTGGCATAAAGAACTTCAAGGTGTTAACTGCTTCTAATCTTAGGAAGGGATTTGAATACTTGATACTAGGATCTGACCCACCTGAACTTGTAAGTGTGTTTCTGTTTCACTTTCAGGAAGCTGTTGATAAGAGTTTGCTAGCAGGTAAATCTGCTCTGTGCTTTTCTTCCAGAAAGGTAACGTCACTCTCAAAATCATCAGTAATACTATTACCCATCTGTGGGTGGATTCTACCAGCAGCGAAAGCAAAAACCCTTGGTTAAGAGCTAGCAAGAAAACACCAACCACTGAAATTTATTAAAGGTGATTTGAGTCCTCTTTAAAAAAATCTAATTGTAGAGAATTAGTATTCACTGGGAAGAATAGGATGGTTAACGTGTTGTTCCTTGGCTGCATGATGGCACCTGGAAGCCTTGGTCTTCATGTCAGCCCTATAAAGCTGTGCGTTCCTCTCAGGCAGTGGTAGCTTTCATGGACTATTTTTGCTGTATTTGCTGTCCTTCTAAATGTATTTCTGGCTAGACAGAAGTTGGAAACTTTATTGCATTTTGAGCCTCCGTTGTGTGGTTTTTGTATTTCTGCACTGGTGCAAGGGCCAGGCTGTGCTGTGACCATTGCGGGGTTCGTAACCTCGCTGTACTTTTGAACCAGTTGTGTGCCATAGGGAGGAGGCACAAAATATTTTCTAGCAGAGCTGTTGAAGACTCCAGAAGTGAGCATAATTTAAAGTACATTCTTAGTTAAAATAGATGTTGTTTGCACCTGCCTTTTTGACTCATCTGGAAACTTAAGGGAAACATTGACTTGCTTGCTTTGTTATGGGGTGCATAGGAAGTGCACCTAAGCTCCCAGTCTTTGTTCTCAGGTAGGTTCTGCTACTTAACTTCTTTGGGGTTATCTCTTCCTTTAAAGCTATAATGTGGTTGAATACAGATTTCAAAGGTACTTTAATGAGAAAACAAACAAAAACCTTGTTCATATATAAATAGAAAAATTCTCAACTTCTTGGCAGAATCCTTGCCATATTTGTTGTATATTTCTGAATGTTAGCTGAGGTACAAACAGGCAGAAAGCTTCTATAGAATCACAACACCATTATGTCAAAGTAGTGCTTTGGGCACAAATTTAAAGGATTACCCTCTAAATGATAGTTTTGAAATTATTTTTATTATGGTTATAAATAGTAAAAATTATACACAAATGGCAGTACTTCTTGACAAAAGGCAGGAAAGTCAAGTGGGATTGATTTTGCTTCGTCTGGGTTTTTGAGGTGCAAGTAAGTAAATTTAAAAATAAACAAAAAAGTAAACATTCTTCTATGTAGCAGAGACCTGTTTTTCTTTTTTTCTTGAAGTTCATCCCAATGTATCAGAGCAATTCCAGCAACCTGTTTCGCTTGTTCTTTCCCAAATAGGATTCAGTGTCTTTCTTTTCATTTTCTTAGTTTGTTTTCTGTTGTGCTTCAGCACCTACATTCTGTGTTTGTGTGTTGCACTGGTCTCCTGCCCTGGGTTCCTGTAAAAACATACGAACAACTGAAACTTTGTGGGTAGTCTCATTGACTTAAAAGCACCCGCTGGTGTGCTGACAGTTAACCTCTTACATCAGAGCTTTCAGGGCAGAGGCTGGGATGTTGACAACTCAGTCTACTTTTATGGAACATTGTAACAGTGTAGAAGGGGTTGTGTCCAATGAAGTTATTGTGCAGTGGGTTGTTTGGAGTTTTCCTTATTGAAATTTGTTCTCGGAGGTGTTTGTGTTCCAAACGTATGTTTCCATGCTAATTGGTAAGAGATTTCTGTATAGGAATTACAGTCGCTACGCTTTTATTTCAGCAATAACAGAAGACTGTGAACTTTTCGGATTGCTTTTAATTTATGTTGTATCTCTCATTTGTACTGTTATGCTGAAAGTTGCGTGTTGTATGGTGGTAGTTGGTGTTAGCTCAGAGCTGAGCTACTTCCAGCCCCAAATTGGGATGGAGATGATCCCCAGCCCCAGGAGGGTTCTGGGCCCCCTGTGCTGCCCTCCCTCAATTTGCCTTGAGGTAGCCTTGGTGATCAGCAGTGCTACAGGAACGTGGGTGTTACTGTTCCCTTTTGGCTTGCTCTGGTATCTGACCACTCTTTACAAAGTGTAACATGTTTAAAACTTGACATAATCAAGAATTTTTTCAGACACATCCTTCTTGTGGTGAGCTGTGTTGCGAGAGTTGTACTTATTGATGAATTTCTGATCAATGCCATAGTTTCCTTCTGCTTTCCATCATGGTAATATTTTCAGCATCATCCTGTACCCCATCTCACAATTCTTTTTGATTGCAGTCAGTAACTTTCAAAGCGTATTCAAGGCTCTACCTTCAAATTCTTTGTGCGTCTCAAATCAGCAATGGGTGGACGTAGGAGTCTGACCTGTAAAAAGCTATAGTTTATTTAAAATGAAAACTACTATAAACACTGCTATGTTTGTGGGAGATGAAACGGAAACTAGTGCTTGGTGTGACTCCCACTGAGCAGACAGAGCGGTGGGGGCTGAACAGTGGAGGCAGGGAGTGCTGGTCTTGTGTCGGAGTTACCCCCAAGGTGATGTGTGAGAGGTAAGTAATGGAACCCATTTCTAGCTGAGTTCTTGTTTGGAGCACTGGGATAATGCTTTCCTGCGTTTCACTTGGTTGGTTCAGGGGTTCTGTGGAGCTAGATGCCAGCAGTAGTGTTAATGTATGTACTTAAAGTAATATTTGTGAACGCTAAATGGTCCTATACTAAATTCCAGAGGTGGCTGTTGTGTTCTTTATCCTTACACATTTCAGAATTTTATGTTAGTGACATTTTTTCTTACTATCTAAAGACTCTTGAAAACAAGAGATTTCTAGGCACCAAAAAGAGATGGTGTGACTAATTATATTAAAGCAATTGCAACAGTTACAAACTATGAAGTCTTGCTGGTAAGTTTTGTTGGCAACAGCTTGGCAAACAAGTTTTTCTAAGGCCGTCGTGGTAACACTGACAATGATAACATAGCATCATCATACATTATCTTTTCTTTCTAAGGATTGTCTGAAGATTCCTGGCCTAGAGCAACATAACTCATGCTTTTATCGGTGGACTGTGCATTTGTCATACAGCTATATGACTGTATGAGGTTTTTCCTTCAAGTTTCAGTGGAACACTATTTTTCCATCTTCAGCTTATTAGAACTTCGCTTTGTTTGAGGCACTGATTATTCTTTGTATCTATTTTTAATACGTTTTCCACATTCTAATTTTGAGAACCATTCTTGCAAAGGAAGTGTTGCCAGGGAATTAAAAAGATGGGGGGGAAAAAAGGGAATGCCAACTTGTCTTCCATTGCCTTGGTGTGTAGGGGACTCGCTCAGATGTGCTTGGTGTCTTCCACTATTGGGT